TGTAGGGGAGGAGGACAATGTAAAGAAGAGAGCAATTCCAACGTTTATATACCATAATTAAACCACAAACACCAATTGGTAAACACGATCACCATGATACTACCACCAACCATGATACTACACCACCAACCATGATACTACACCACAACCATGATACTACACCACCAACCATGATACTACACCACCAACCATGATACTACCACCAACCATGATACTACACCACCAACCATGATACTACACCACCAACCATGATACTACACCACCAACCATGATACTACACCAACCGGATACTACACCAACCATGATACTACACCACCATACACACCACCAACCATGTACTACACCAACCATGATACTACCCAACCATGATACTACACCACCAACCACGATACTACACCAACCATGATACTACACCACCAACCGATACACCAACCACGATACTACACCACCAACCATGATACTACACCACCAACCATGATACTACACCACCAACCATGATACTACACCACCAACCATGATACTACACCACCAACCATGATACTACACCACCAACCGATACTACACCACCAACCATGATACTACACCACCAACCACGATACACACCACCACCGATCTACCAACCACGATACTACACCACCAACCATGATACTACCACCACGATACTACACCAACCATGATACTACACCACCAACCATGATACTACACCACCAACCACGATACTACACCACCAACCATGATACTACACCACCAACCACGATACTACACCACCATGATCCACCACCAACCATGATACTACACCACCAACCATGATACTACACCAACTACACCACCAACCACGATACTACACCACCATACGATACTACACCACCAACCATGATACTACACCACCAACCATGATACTACACCACCAACCATGATACTACACCACCAACCATGATACTACACCACCAACCATGATACTACACCACCAACCATGATACTACACCAACCATGATACTACACCACCAACCATGCTACACCACCAACCACGATACTACACCACCAACCATGATACTACACCACCAACCATGATACTACACCAACCACGTGATACTACACCACCAACCACGTACTACACCACCAACCACGATACTACACCACCAACCATGATACTACACCACCAACCATGATACTACACCACCAACCATGATACTACACCACCACCCAGATACTACACAACCAATGTACACAACCATCTACACCACCACCTGTACCACACAATTACACCACCAACCATGATACTACACCACCACCAACCATGATACCACCAACCATGATACTACACCACCAACCATGATACTACACCACCAACCATGCTACACGATACTACACCACCAACCATGATACTACACCACCAACCACGATACTACACCACCAACCATGATACTACACCAACACGATACTACACCACAACCATGATACTACCACCAACCATGATACTACACCACCAACCATGATACTACACCCAACCAGATACTACACCACCAACCATGCTACACACCACCAACCACGATACTACACCACCACCATGATACCATGATACTACACCACCAACCATGATACTACACCACCAACCATGATACTACACCACCAACCACGATGCACACCACCATACTACACCACAACCATGATACTACACCACCACGTCTACACCACCAACCATGATACTACACCACCAACCACGATACTACACCACCAACCATGATACTACACCACCACCATGATACCACCCACCATGATACTACACCACCAACCATGATACTACACCACCAACCATGATACTACACCACCAACCATGATACTACACCACCAACCATGATACTACACCACCAACCACGATACTACACCACCAACCATGATACTACACCACCAACCATGATACTACACCACCAACCATGATACTACACCACCAACCATGATACTACACCACCAACCATGATACTACACCACCAACCATGATACTACACCACCAACCATGATACTACACCACCAACCATGATACTACACCACCAACCATGATACTACACCACCAACCATGATGCTACACCTGCCATGATACTACACCACCAACCATGATACTACACCACCAACCATGATACTACCACCAACCACGATATACACCACCAACCACGATACTACACCACCAACCACGATGCTACACCACCAGCAGCGATACTACACCACCAACCGCTGATGCTACACCACCAACCACGATGCTACACCTACCAACCGCTGATGCTACACCACCAACCATGATGCTACACCACCAACCATGATACTACACCACCAACCATGATACTACACCACAGCCATGATACACCACCAACCACGATACTACACCACCAACCATGATACACCACCAACCCAAGGCACACACCACCAACCATGATGCCACCACCAGCCATGATGCTACACCACCAACCACATGATACTACACCACCAGCCATGATACTACACCACCAACCATGATACTACACCACCAACCACGATACTACCACCAACCATGATACTACACCACCAACCATGATACTACACCACCAACCATGATACTACCACCAACCGCGATACTACACCACCAACCATGATACTACACCACCAACCATGATACTACACCACCAACCATGATACTACACCACCAACCATGATACTACACCACCAACCATGATACTACACCACCAACCATGATACTACACCACCATCCATTCAGCTCCCATCAACTGTGTCTACTGATCCGATTTATGTGTTAATAATATATTCGTTTGTTATATTTCCACGACACAAATACTGTCAGTAGTGTATTAAAAATGGACACTATTTGTATAAGCAGATGGTGGGCCGGTTCCCTATTTATTTACTATGTATTGAATGAGTTTGGTAAATTCAGATTGAAATATGTTTGTTTGTCTAATTTTGTCATCGTAATTCATTGGCTGATTTGGGAATCCTTACTGAGTTTTGTTTATAAATTCGTAATTGGGTTTATTGTAATGGGTTTTTATATTTTTTATGTATGTAATTGGGGGGGTTGTTTTTGTTTGTTTTTTTATTCTGATTGGAATTTTTTTTTGGAATTGGTGGTGGTGGTAGTGGTGGTGGTGATTGTTGTTGTGGTGGTAGTGGTGATATATTTGTATTAATAGGGGTGATAATAGTGGGAATGGTGGTAGTGATTGTAGTAGTGGTGGTAGTAGTGGCGTTGGTGGTGATAGTAATAGTGGTGGTGGTAGTAGTGGTGTTGGTGATGGATGGTTGGCGGCAGCATCAGAGACAGGTGCCAGTTGATGTCCGGGAAGAGTGGAGTGAGAGTGATTGATGATATGGAGAGAGAGAGGGAGAGAGAGAGAGAGAGAGAGAGAGAGAGAGAGAGAGAGAGAGAGAGAGAGAGAGAGAGTTTGGGTGTAAGTGGAGAAGAGAGTAAGTATAGGATAGAAGGAGGCAGAGTAGTAGTAATAGAAATAGTAGTAGTAGTAGTAGTAGTAGTAGTAAAAACAGTAGAAGTAGTAGTAGAAATAATAATAATAGTAATAGTAGTAGAAATAATAAATAATAATAGTAGTAGTAGTAGTAGTAGTGGAAATAGTAGTAATAGCAGTAAAAGAAAGTCGTAGTAGTAATAGTAGTAAAAATAGTCGTAGTAAAAGTAGGAAATAAGTAGAAAGAATAATAATTATGTTAAAAATTTTCTTACGTATTAATATAACTCCACTATTTCATAAACTGTACAATAAAGCTCTATGATTCTTCACAATATTTCCTTCATTATACTACAAGTTATAAGAAGTGTACTGTAATACTGTAATCACCTCGTTATTATTATGCTACCTACTGTATTTTTTATGTGTTTGTAATAATGTCCATGTACCGTATAACAACTGTATGTAGAGACTGTACCCTGTAACACCTGTATGTAGAGACTGTACCCTGTAACACCTGTATGTAGAGACTGTACCCTGTAACACTTGTATGTAGAGACTGTACCCTGTAACACCTGTATGTAGAGACTGTACCCTGTAACACCTGTATGTAGAGACTGTACCCTGTAACACCTGTATGTAGAGACTGTACCCTGTAACACTTGTATGTAGAGACTGTACCCTGTAACACCTGTATGTAGAGACTGTGCCCTGCTTAACACTTGTATGTAGGGGAACTGTACCGTATAACACCTGTATGTTGAGACTGTACCCTGTAACACCTGTATGTAGGGTGTACCCTGTAACACCTGTATGTAGAACTGTACCGTATAACACCTGTATGAGAGACTGTACCCTGTAACACTTGTATGTAGAGACTGTACCGTATAACACCTGTATGTAGAGACTGTACCCTGTAACACCTGTATGTAGAGACTGTACCCTGTAACCTGTATGTAGGGCACCCTGTAACACACCTGTATGTAGAGACTGTGCCATTATAACACCTGTATGTAGGGCCTTGTATGTAGAGACTGTACCGTATAACACTTGTATGTAGAGACTGTACCATTATAACACCTGTAATGTAGAGGACTGCCCTGTAACACTTGTGTAGAGACTGTACCGTATAACACCTGTATGTAGAGACTGTACCCTGTAACACCTGTATGTAGAGACTGTACCCTGTAACACCTGTATGTAGAGACTGTACCGTATAACACCTGTATGTAGAGACTGTACCGTATAACACCTGTATGTAGAGACTGTACCCTGTAACACCTGTATGTAGAGACTGTACCCTGTAACCTGCTTGTATGTAGAGACTGTACCCTGTAACACCTGTATGTAGAGACTGTACCCTGTAACACCTGTATGTAGAGACTGTACCGTATAACACCTGTATGTAGAGACTGTACCGTATAACACCTGTATGTAGAGACTGTACCCTGTAACACCTGTATGTAGAGACTGTACCCTGTAACACCTCCAGTTTGTGTTGTCACTTGTCAGAGAAAAACACTGAAATGTGTTCTTGTCTTTCCCCAGATGGTCGCGCAGTCAGGCCACGTCCAAGGTAAGAGACCAAGAGGGTAGCATTACCTCCTCAGTCCTTTCTACCTTTCCTTCACATCTTACCCTCAAGACTAAAGTTAAGTGGGTTAGAATTTTATTGTTTAGTCTCCCTTGAAAATGGTGGTCTGTTAGGGGCAGTGTGGATACAGTACACCGAATACTAAGCCATCGCCACTGCACTCGAATATTTTCACTTTTATTTTTTATTTTTTTTTCAACTTTCCCTCCAGTAAAATCAGGTACTCACTCACAGCTGGGTCGATTAAGAGTACCCCGAGCATGAACCATGAACTTTGGGATAGGTGAGCGTTGTATCCACTTAGCCACCGACCACTTTTCTTCCTTGCCTTTCTGTTTAAACCCAAAATTAATGTTCTAACCCCATTACCCAAGCGTTTTACCTAAATGTCCAGGTTAGGGCAAGTAGGGATTTAGATTCTCTTGTAATAGCTATTTAACCGGAAATTTTGTTTTGTTTTGTTTCTAACCCAAATATATATATATGGCTTTGTGCCTCCCTAAATACACTTACCTCAATAATCCCTTCATGAAATCCCTCTACCTCAGTGCCTCCCAAAACAAACATAACTGGTTAATCCCTTTACCCCAACACCTCCCCCAAACAGACTTACCTCAATCCCTCTACCTATACTTGCCTTAATAAATAACCTTCTCCAATCCATTTACCTTGACATGCCCTCTTTTCCTTCCTTCTCACTGACCTTCAACACCTCCCCAAATTCATTGACCTTCAACACCTCCACAAACTCACTGACCTTCAACACCTCCCCCAAACAGACTTACCTTCAACAGCACCTCCCCAAACTCACTAACCTTCAACACCTCCCAAACTCACTAACCTTCAACACCTCCCCAAACTCACTGACCTTCAACACCTCCCCAAACTCACTAACCTTCCAACACCTCCCCAAACTCACTGACCTTCAACACCTCCCCAAACTCACTAACCTTCATCCACTCCCCAAACTCACTGACCTTCAACACCTCCCCAAACTCACTAACCTTCAACACCTCCCCAAACTCACTGACCTTCAACACCTCCCCAAACTCACTAACCTTCAACACCTCCCCAAACTCACTGACCTTCAACACCTCCCCAAACTCACTTACCTTCGTTTCTTTTTCTTTCCTTTTTTTTTACTTCGTCTTGACTTCGTTTCCCCACAAGGAAGGTTTGACTAACTTTGTGTTGTTTCCCCGGCCCCAACTCGGTACGTGTGTTAATGGTCAGTTCCTGGGTTTAATGTTAGCACGATACTGCTTTTGAAACGTATGTGTATTGTGGAAAGGAAGTATTGATATTGATATTGATATTGGGGGAGGAGAGGTAGTAGGTGTGTGTTGATGATGATGTATGTGTAGGAGTTTGTGTGTGTATGTGTGTGTATGTGTGTATGTGCAAATAAAAATAGGTTTATGGTGTATTTAGGGACTAGAAATTTACCTCCCTGTCCTCCCAAATTCCACCTTCTTCTCCTCCTCATCCTCTTCCTCCTCCACCACTTCTCCCTCACCACCACTTCTACCTCCTCCTTCCCAACACCACCTCCTCCTCCCCAACACCACCCCACCCTCTCCTCCCCAACACCACCCCACCCCCTCCCAACACCACCCCCTCCTCCCCAACACCACCTCCTCCTCCCAACACCACCCCACCCCTCCTCCCCAGCACCCCACCTCCTCCTCCCCAACACCACCCCACCTCCTCCTCCCCAACACCACCCCACCCTCTCCTCCCCAACACCACCCCACCCCCTCCCCCCCAAACCATATCGTTCTCCTCGAAAATAAATAAATAAAAAATAATAATACAGTTATAATAAATAAGATAAATAAATAAATAAATATAAGTGAACTAATAGGAAAAGATGAGCTTAAGGGCAGGAGGCAGTAGAGTGTGTGTTGTGAGGAGTGAAGTGCTGGAGGGAGTCGGCTACGATGTTACTTACTGTATGATGGTCGAAAAAATTATATACTTTATATATATATATGTATTTCCTCGGGGGTGATGGAGCTTGTAGATGAAGATGTGAAAGAGAGGGAAAGAGTGTGTGTGTGAGAGAAGGAAAAATGAGGTAAGAGAGAGAGAGTGTGTGTGAGGCGACAAAAGCCGTAATATGCTCGTTGACCGCCATTGTGCCTTGATAACACCGTCCCTACCTCCCTCCCTGGCCCCCACTGTCACTATCTTCTCTCCCTTTCCCTCCACAATCTCTCTTCTCTTCCAGCAGTCCTTATCCTCTCTCTCTCTCTCTCTCTCTCTCTCTCTCTCTCTCTCTCTCTCTCTCTCCCACTGCCGTGATGAGGATGGAGTTATATGATAGTCACACACACACACACACACACCAGTGAATATATTTATACACATTTTTTCCCGCTCCCTCTTAAAAAAAAAAAAAAGTTTCCAGTTTTATCAAGAGATGTCACATGCGGCAGTTTGTGATTAGTTTCCTTCAGTCTTGGCCCCGTCTTCTTCTCCTCTGCTCGTGTATTCCCGGACATTTTTACTTTTCACGTGAAGATGATTTTAAAAAGTAGCAGATGTTTGTGTGACCAGGATTTTTTTTTAGACGGTGTTTGTGGTGATTGATTATTTTTTTTTTTCGTAGTCGTGTTTGTGTATTTGTTTGATTAGTTTGTTTTAGATGTGGTTGTTTGTATAAATGAAGTTGTTTAGTCGTTGTTTGTTTGGGCGATTTCAAATTCATGGTAGATGTTGTTGGAGATGGTGTGTGTGTGTGTGTGTGTGTGTGTGTGTGTGTGTGTGTGTGTGTGTGTGTGTGTGTATTGATGATGATGATGATATTATTATTATTATTCAATGATATTGATATTATTATTATTGATATTATTATTGCGCTTATTCAACAGGAGGAACCAGACCCAACGTGTCCCCACAGTGTCAAGCAGAACCCATTTCAACAGATCCAACAGAACCCTCATATTAACAGACTCAACAGAACCTTCATGTCAACAAATCCAACAGAACCCCGTATCAACAGGCTCCCCGGTGTGTTGAGAAGAATACAAAACACTCGCTTCCCAGCTCGTGTTTACCCCCTGGAGGAGAGAGGAAAACGAGAAGGGGACGTGAGGCACCAGCGAGGAGACACAAGAGACAAACATATTTACCTCCTGAGGGACCCTTTGACGGATTCCTAGCAGCCATCGCCACCGCCACGTCCTTTGAAAACACTCCTCGGCGTCTTCTAGCAACAGGGCCCTACACGAGATCCTTTTTTGACACGGTCTGTGGGAACCTTTGACACGTTTCTTGATGACCCTTCCAGATTCTTGGGGTGTGAGGATTATTTTCTGCGTGTGTGTGTGTGTGTGTGTGTGTGTGTGTGTGTGTGTGTGTGTGTGTGTGTGTTACTACATCGTGAGGTAAAATTCGCTTTCTGGGTCCTGCTGGGGGATTGCCTTAATGTCCGCATTTGCGACTTGACGCGGAAGATTATCATCCCAGACCAGTCGCCAGGCAGGTGTGTGTGTGTGTGTGTGTGTGTGTGTGTGTGTGTGTGTGTGTGTGTGTGTGTGTGAAGTCGAACCGGTTGACTTGGGGAGGCGAAGCTGTGAGCGTTTTTATAAGTGCGTGTTCATGTGTGTGTGTCTGAGCTTTTGATATCTCTCCTTTTCCTGTCTCCCACCTCCCGTGTTTTTACCTGTTAGCTCTCTCCTCCTCCGCCTCTCCTCCTTCCCCTCTTCCCCTACTCCTTCTTTCTCCTCTTCTTTTCTTCTTCCTCCTCCTCCTCCTTCCTCCTCCTCCTCCTCCTTGTCTTCTTCCTCCTTCGCGTATTCCTCTTCTTCCTCGTCTTCCTCATCGTCTTCCTCCTCCTCTTCTTCCTCCTCGTCTTCCTCCTCCTCTTCTTCCTCCTCGTCTTCCTCCTCGTTTTCCTCCTCCTCGTCTTCCTCCTCCTCTTCTTCCTCCTCATCTTCTTTCTCCTCCTCTTCTTTCCCCTCCTCCTCCTCTTTCTCCTCCTCTTCTTTCCCCTCCTCCTCCTCTTTCTCCTCCTCCTCTTCTTCTTCCCCTTTCCTTCATCTTCTTTTCTCTTCCCTTATCCATCACCCACTTACCTCACCAATCATCCCTCCCTCCCCCACCCTTCTCTCCCACCTACCTTCCCCTTACCTCAACCTCTCCTTTTTCATCTTATCTTACCTTCCTCACCCTCCCTTCATCCCTCCCCTCATGAAAACGTCTTCCTTCCTCCATCCCATCCTTCCCTTCCTTTCCTCCCCTCTGTCAACGTCAACATCTTCCCCTCCCTCCCTCCCTCCCTCCTATCCTTCCCTCCTTCCCTCCCATCTTTCCCTTTCCTTCCTTCCTACCCTCCCCCTATCCTTCCCTTTCTCCTCCCCTCCTTCCCACCCTCTCCCTCCCCTCCCGTCCCCCCTCCCCTAATCAAGGAAATTCTGGCCGTCAAAGCGACAATTAAGGCCGGCGGAATATCTTTTGAAGATTATAATGCCTTCGCGTCCCACACAGTTTTTTGGGGGCTCATATGAAGGTCGTCTTATCTCCTCGGGGCGGATCGTGGGTGGGGCTGGTCGTGGGGGAGAGGTCTGTGGTCGGGAGTAGTCGTCATTAGTCTCTGGTGAATGGTTGTAGTCGTGGTAGTTTGTGGGCGGCGGTGGTAGAAGAGGTGAGACGTGGTAGATGATGGTTAATCGTGGTTGGTTTTCGATACAATTCAGTAAATCGTAAATGGTCTTCCCGAATTTCTGGAACAAAGCCCCCGAGGGAGGTAGTGGAGAGAGGTGAGGGGGGGAGGTGGAGGGGCGAGGCAATAGGGGAGAGAAGGAGATGGCTTTGAGGAGGAGGCAATGAGGTGGAGGTGGGGGTGAGGTGGCCCAACAGAGGAGTCGACGTGTGATCATCAACATACACAAACAGACTCTCTCTCTCTCTCTCTCTCTCTCTCTCTCTCTCTCTCTCTCTCTCTCTCTCTCTCTCTCTCTCTCTCCCCACTATTTACA